GCCTACCTGGCAAGCATGAGGTCGTGAGTTCGATTCCCAGTACCGGAAACAAACAAACAAACAAACAAAAAATACAGAAGTGGGGCTTTAGTTATTTCAAAGTTAAAATGTGTTGGAAATTGAAATCTTCTGACCAAATTAATGAATCAGCTCTAACAGGCCCAATAAACAGCCAAGTCCCAGGAGGGGAACTGCAACTGGGCTCTTGTAACCTGAAGACTTGGAGGAAGGAGGGAACAGATTGTGATTCTGCCCTGAAGAAAATGGTTTTACAGGGAGTGCGGGAACTCAGGAGGAGCTTGCTTTATGTAAAAGGATAGAAGGAAATGAGATGAGAGAACTGAGGAAAAAGCCCGGCGTGGCACTGCATCCCTGGAGTCCTGAGAGTCCAAGGCTGAGGCAGGAGGATCAGAAATTTGAGCCCACCCAGGGCAACTCAGCAATTTAACAAGATGCTGTTTCAAAAATAAAAAGTGTTAAAAAAAAAAAAAAGCTAGCAATGATAGCTCAGTGAAAAGGCCCTGAGCTCAATCTTCAGCACCTTAGGGGAAAAAAAATTGAGAAAAGAGCCAGGTGTGGTGTCGCACACCTGTAATCCCAGCACTCAGGAGGCTGAGGCAGGAGGATCATTGTGAGTTCAAGACCAGCCTGGGCTACAAAGTGAGCCAAGGCCAGCCTGAACTGCATTACGAGACCCTGTCTCAAAAAGCAAAAAAAAAAAAAAAAAAAATTGAGAGAAAAGTTTTAAGTGGAAGGAAGAGTGCTGGTTGTATGAATGCTCAGAAAAAAATGATAGGAAATCCTGGAATTTTTTTTCTTCTTGGAATTTTGATTAAACTTACTTTGACAATTTTTTTTAAAAAACTCTTATTTTTTGTTTATTGTGCCAAACACAGTGAAAATTTTAGTCTCACTAATTGTACAGAATACAGAGTTTGTAACCAGTACCAAACACCACAGGATAAACCTAAACTCTGGCATCCTTTAACAAGTATTATCATGTGCCAATTAAGTCCTACTGCTTCAAAGAGAAGAAAAACAGTGCTTGGACTTCGGAAGTGAGTAATTAGAGGGGAAATAAGTACATTCATAAGTGTAAGGGAAAGTCTAAAAAGT